AAAACATGGGGTAATGGTTTTACAACTAGGAACCAGACTTGCAACCATTATTTGCTTTCTACTGTGATTTAAAGAATATATATTGAATCTGCAAAGGATTATTTTTGGTGATTTACCTGTTTGCCTGTTGATGTCTTTGTGCACTTTCTATTGATGATCCCTCTATTTGGAATCTCTTTAAGTCTAGTGACAGCACACTTTACTGTAAGTTTAAATCTTGGACTTTTTTCAGAATTTGTAAAATTTCATTTCATCGTGTTTATTTTCTCAGGTTTTTGCTTTAGAGAAGTAGAATTGAATGAAAAAAACAAAAACTCTAGTATGGAAGGAGGTAGATTTGGAGATGAAAAATTTTGGTTGTTATTATAGAAATTTTGTTAAATTTTTATTATTTCTTTTTTAAAAATGGCATGCTTCCAATGTATCCATAATTCAATAAACATAAAAATCAAATCATTTCCTTGGATCTACTAGAAGATGTCTTCTTCACGTGTTTCATCTTGCTAAAAACTGATTTTTAGAAAAGTGAAACTAGGTAAAAATAATGCCACAGTCAAGTGGTGCTGTAGGATAAACACTGGACTGCTAACCACAAGGTCAGCAGTTCAAATCCACCAGTCACTCCTTAGAAATTCTATGCAGGGTCATTATGAGTCAGAATCAACTTGAAGGCACTTAAGAAGAACAGCAACACACATTTTCAGTGGGTTTATGATATTTTTACAAAGCAGTCTAAAATCTCTCAACTCTCCCAGGTATTTATATTTCTCTGCCTCTTCTTTTTTCTTGTCCTCTTCCTGTTTCCCTTTCTTCCTCACTTTACTTCTAGAAATTAGGAGGACACTATGATTATTATTTAAAAAACATATAAAAATAAATAAACTAGGAGGAAATGAATAGGAAATTTCTTTTAATCTCTGGCACATAATTTTATAGAAAATTTTATAAATTATAACTATTGATAAACGCTATAGTGTATCACATATGTTTATGAGATGATTAAAAAAACTTTGTTGATATATTGTTTTGACATTTAAAATTATAATAATATTACTGCATGTTCATTTAACTGAATACTTCATGTGAGACTGGATAGTCTTAGGCATATAATGTTGTTATTGTTAAGTGCCATCAAGTTAGTTCTGACTCATAGCAACCCTGTACAGGGTTTTTGACTGATTGGTGAGCTTGAACCATCACCCTTGTGGTAAGTAGTTCAGTGCTGATCCTGCAGTATTACACCAGCACTCCCAGACATATAACACAGTTATCCCTAATTCTCACAGTGATTCTAGAGGAATCAAATGATCCTCTGAAATGCCCCTCTCATACATGCTCCTCCCACATCCAATAAGCTCAGGGAGAGAGCTATTGTCAGGACTTAATTGAAAAGATAAAAAACTCAATTACAAAAGCTGTTGTCAAAGCATAATCAGTCTATTCAAATTAAATCAAACTTATGTCACCAATATTTAATTAGTTTGATTTGGGTTGTTATATGAGAACCAGGTAAAAGAGTCAAAAGCAGTTTCATTAGGCTCACTGACATTTTTGCTAGATATAACATACACACACACACACACAATTAAAATTAAAGGTGGCAAACTTTGGCCAACGCTCTGGTGTTTCTGGTGTATCTGTAAAGTCAAAATGAATGTTATAGTTGTTTTTTTGTTTTTCAATATTTTGAACTTTATTTTCAATAGAACTGAGGAGATACAAATTTATATGGCTCTAAATTAAGGCATAAAGGAGCTCTGGTAGCGTAGTGGTTACGAATCGGGCTGTGAACCGCAAGGTCAGCAGTTCGAAACTACCAGCGGTTCCGCGGGAGAAAGATGAGGCGTTCTGCTCCCGTAAAGATTTACAGCCTCGGAAACCCTGTGCAGGGTCGCTATGAGTCGGAACCGACTCCACG